TTCAGTGATTTGTAGACATACAGGAGTATTTTGAACTGGATTTGAAAGTGAACTGGTAACCAGTGCAGTGAGGACAAAACTGGTGTAATGTGCTCTCTTTTGCCTGTACTGGTTAAAAATGGGGCTGCTGCATTCTGGACCAGTTCTAGTCGTACAATGGAGGTCTGACTGATACCAAACAGGAGTGAATTGCAGTAATCAAGCCTAGATGTAATGAATGCATGTATTACTGTCTCCAGGTTATTTTTGGATGATATGGGCTTCAGTTTAGACAGCCGCCTCAGTTGGAAGAAGCAAGATTTAACATATATCTCAGTTATATCTAAGTGACACATCATCCGATATGGGCCAGCTTTATTGTGCATCATCAGTGAGCACTTCTAGACACATTGGTATTGTTGTTTAACTTTTGACTCCAGTGCGCCCCTACATTATTCCAACAGATATATCTCAGTGATAAATCATCTGATCTGCACCTGATTTTTTTTGTGCTTCATCAGTGAGTACTTGTAGCCAAATTGGTATTGTTGATTCGTAACATCGCTTAAGCCCCACCCATCCAGTGAAGAAACTGTTGATTAATGGGTGACTCTTCCAGCTTCGCACTGTGTACGATATTAGACTGAAAATGTGTTCACTAACTGTTGATTACTACACATGACATGTTGAAAATCATAAAGGAAGTGCTCGCCAAACATTCACCACAAAACAGGAAGTCACAATAACTCCTGTCTGGAAGGTCGGATTTTGCCTATACTTGTAAGGCCTGCAACTAGAGAAGTACTGTCATGAACGGAAGGCGATGTCAAAGATTTGGGAAATGCACCCCATGGTGAACGCTTGCAGAATTGACACGAGTGTTCGCGATGGCGACTGGGTGGAGTAGTTGGAGCTTCCACGGTCGCTGTATGGCTGGAGCGGGGCTTTGCTGCGAAGGCCTTCACTGCTGCTTGCAGCTTTAATTGGGCCCGAGCAGCGAAGCGTTGCTAAGGCCTATTGTAATTGCTCAGTTCATTTCTCATTGTAATTTAACTTATCTCTAATTTTATGAAGATTAAATCCATCAGTCGAATCATAGCCAGTATAAATGTCTTCTGTGGAAAATGTCAGTAATTCATGTAAAGTAACCCTAATTTTTGTGTTCATGATCAGGTGGTTTAAACTTTTTATTGTTGTTCAGGTGTAATACTGATTTAATCTTCTGTATTTTTTCTCTGCAGTCATAGCCATGCCATCCTCATCAAGTATTGGCTATCGTCCAGGTGACATGGCGCTGCTGGGTCTCATCATGGCAGCACTTTTGGTCCTGTGTCTCATCATAATTGGCTTCTTATTATCTCACCTGTGGAAAGGAAATGCGAGCATGAAAAATATATGTGAGGTCAGTTTTTACTACTAAAAGACTGTATAATTCATACTATAGAATCCAGACTTTCTTCTTTAAAAATGGTTTTAATATGTAAATTCTGTAAATTCTAAATCTGTAAATTACTGATGAAGCCATTTGGATGGAAGGTAAAATGTTTCAGCACAAAAAAAAGAAAGAAAGAAACTGTCCAGATGACCTGACTGAAAATTGTTGGATTATAAACCTGGATTATTGAGCATGGACTTTGTTGGTGTTGAAACAGTTTGACATGAATGTTGACGAGGAAGAGGGCCGGCACCGGAGGAGGGTGCGTGCCAAAGACACTATCTTAGCACCAACATAACTGGTTTGTTCCACTTTGGAGTATGCTGTTGGGGAAGAATCAGGTTTTTTTTGTTTCCTTGACTGATGAAGCCTTCTGGATGGAAGGTGAAACGTTTCAGTATTAAAAAAAACTGTCCAGATGGCCCGACTGAAAATTGTTGGATTGTTTACCTGGATTATTGAGCATATACTTTGTTGGTTTTCTGTGCTGTCTTTACAATAATATTCAAGGACATCTGTGATGTCTGTACAGTTTCATAAAGGATAATCTGCCTTGTCTGTAATGTTATTAAGGGCTCTCTTTCTTGTTCATACTTAATTATTTTGGGCCTCTGTCCTTTCTATGCAATATTATGGAGGGTCTTCTGTCCTGTCAGCATAACAATGGAAATTTATCCCAACCAACCATTATCTTTACCCGCTTATTCCATTTTGGGTCACGGGGGTCGCTGGTGCCCATGTCCAGCAATCAATGTGCGAGGGGCGGTGGACACCCTGGACAGGTCGCAAGTCCATCACAGGGAAATTTATCCCATGCTGTTTAATAATTTTACCTAATGGAAGCATATATAAAGTAGAGTATTGGCCCAATCACTGAGCCCTGAGGAACTCCATGACTAACTTTGGTGTATGAAGATTTATTATTTACTGTACATTTACAAACTGGAATCTATCAGATAGACAAGATTTAAACCACTTTAGAGCCATTCCTGTAATCCCAACATCATATTCAAGCCTCTGTAGTAAAATATTGTGATCAACTGTATCAAATGCAGCACTGAGGTCTAACAGGACCAGTAGAGACACAAGTCCATTGTCTGAGGCCATGAGAATATCATTAGTGACTTTACTAGTGCTGTTTCTGTGCTATGATGAGCTCTAAACCCTGACTGAAACTCTTCAAACAGATTATTTCTTTGTAGATGTTCACGCAACTGACCTGCAACTATTTTCTCTAGAATTTTTGAGATGAAAGTTAGATTAGATATAGGTCTATAGTTGGCCAGAATTTCTGAATCAAGATCAGACTTCTTAAGTAAAGGTTTAATTACAGCAACCTTAAAGCGCTGTGGTACATAACCATCCATTAAAGACAAATTAAGTAGATCCAAAATGTGGACATTAATTAGGGGGAATACCTCTTTAAACAGTCTGGTTGGGATGGGATCTAGCAGGCATGTGGATGGTTTGGATGAGGTTATTATTTTTGACAATTCAGAGCTGAACAGGACAAAAACTGTCCAAACATAAATCAGGCTCTAGTGAAATTTTTAAAGTTGCCTCATTTGACAGGGGACTAGAGATAGTAGAAGGAAGGATGGTTTGAATTTTATCTTTAATTGAAATAATTTTATTTATAAAGAATCTCATGAAGTCATCACTACTTATAGTTGTAGGGATACATGGTTCAACAGAAATGGGACTTTTAATTAGTCTAGCAATAGTACTAAACAGAAACCTAGGGTTATTTTTATTCTCCTCTATTAAAGATGAGTAATATAAAGTTCTAGCTTTACGTAGAGCTTTTTTATATGTTAGCAGACTATCTTTCCAAGTTAAATAAAATTCTTCAACATTAGTAGAGCGCCATTTTCTCTCCTGGTTTCTAGATGCTGCTTTAAAGTACGTAACTCAGAATTGAACCAAGGAGCCAGTTTCCTCTGATTGATTACTTTCTTTTTCAGTGGAGCAATTTTATCAAGTGAAGTTTGCATTGAAGTTGTAAGATGATCAACTAGATGATCTAAGTCTCTGTTCTCTGATGCATTACTCTGCAAGACAGAGGAAAACATTGATGGAAGAGATCGTTTAAATTTGGTTACAGCATTTTCTGATAAGCACCTGCTGAGATGAACTTTACTCTCAGTGACTGTGTAGTCATTTAATGTAAACTCTAAGTTATTAAAAAATGGTCGGACAGAACAGGATTTTGAGGAACTATTACCAAGTCCTTAATCTCTACACCATAGGTCAGAACTAAATCAAGAGTGTGATGATAAGAATGAGTAGATGTGTGGACGTTTTGGGTAAAACCAAATGAGTCTATTAAATTATTAAAGGCTATGCTTAAACTATCACTCTCAACATCCACATGAATATTGAAATCACCCATTATGATGATTTTATCAGTATTTAATAATAAGTCTGTTAATAATTCTGAGAATTCAGACAAAAACTGAGAGTAAGCTCCTGGTGGACGATATATAACAACTAGTAAAAGTGGCTTTTCTGATTTCCATTTTGGATGAGAAAGACTGAGGGACAGCGATTCAAAAGAATCATAACTAATAACTGGTTTGGCATTAATCAATAATCCTGACTGAAAAATAGAAGCTACTCCTCCACCTCGGCCAGTTGTTCTAGGAACATGAAAATTTAAATAATTAACAGGAGTGGATTCATTTATACCATCAAAATCCTCCTGTTGTAGCCAAGTTTCTGTCAGACACAATAAATCAATATGATGATCAGTTATCAGTTCATTAACTAACAGGGATTTAGAGGAAACAGATCTGATGTTCAATAATCCACATTTAATGATTTTATGATTTTGCTCTGGTAAAGTAACTGTGTTTATTTTAATCAGATTTTTATGGTTTATATTTTTAGAGTTGATTTTTTTGTTTATTTAATTTGAGCCGTGGGCGAGTTGACACTGTTTCAATGTGGGTGTGGGTGGGTAACAGAGGAGAAGCAGCAGAGAGGTGTGGAGGACTACAACTCTGCTTCCTGGACTGGACCCTGGGTTGTCAATAATTTGGGGGATAAACAATATCAGCCATATTTCTAGAAAGAAGAGCGGCTTCATCCAAAGTGGGATGGATGCCATCTCTCCACATCAGACCAGGTTTTCCCCAGAAAGAACTCCAGTTATCTATGTAGCCCACATCGTTGTCAGAACACCACCTGGACACCAAGCGGTTAAACGACGACATACGGCTAAACATGTCATCGCTGGTCAGGTTGGGGAGGGGGCCGGAGAAAACTACGGAGTCCGACATGGTTTTAGCAAAGTCACACACCGAAGCAACATTAATTTTTGTGACCTCCGATTGGCGTAACCTTGTTTCATTACCGCCGACGCGAATAACAATCTTACTGTATTTAGCCTTAGCCTTAGTCAGCAGTTTCAGATAAGATGTATGTCACCCACTCTGGCCCCCGGAATGCATTTGACTATGGCCGCTGGAGTCCCTAAAGCCATGTTTTGGACTATGGAGCTTCCAATAACCAGGGTCTGCTTCTCAGCGGGTGTGTCACTGAGCGAGGAAAATCTATTAGAAACGTGAACGGGTCGGTGGTGAACTGGGGGCTTAGGCTTAGCACTACACTTGCTCCGGACCGTCACCCAGCTGGCCTGGGGTCCCGGCTGCTCGGGGTCTGCTGGAGGACCGCTAACGGTAGCTAGCCTCTGTGGTTCCATGCTGTCTAAGGGGACCTGGCTAGTTACTGGTTTTTCTACAGCACGGAGCCGAGCTTCCAGTTCAGACAGCCTCTCCTCCAAAGCTACCATAAGACTACATGTGTTACATGTATCGTTACCACTAAAGGAGGCAGAGGAGAAACTAAACATCTGACACACGGAGCAAGAGAAAACAGAGGAAGCAGGGAGAGAAGCAGCAGCCATGCTAAGCTAATGCTAGCAGGAGCTAGCAGAGCCAAATACACCAATAAAAACCGAGAAGTGTTGAAAGATATGAGGTGTTTTAAGCACTATCCAACAGTAGAAAAACAACTGTACTAAGTGTGTTTGTGAACTACAATGAAAAACTGTGCAAAAGACAGAAAAATCCAGAAAACAGAGACGACTCGAGCAAACAATTCACTCGAGCTACAGACAGACAAACAGGAAATGACACAATATGTCTCACCACGAACGTGCAACGTCACACCACTAGGAGGCAGCCAGAGTACAACAAAAAAAAGAGAGGGAAAATAAAAAAAGAGAGGGTCACAGTTGTTCTGTGGAAAGTGTGGTCCTGCTGATCAGAGTGGTGTCTGATTTTAATCTTAAACTGACCACCTCTACTGCATCATCAACAGGAATGCACGTAAAGAGTGATGTGACATCAAAAGAGACCATTGTTTCATCAGTCTCCATGATGACATCCCTCACCTTATCTACAAAGTACATGGTGTTCTGTATGTGGTGTTCTGAGCTGCCAACTAAAGGGATGAGTACAGACACCAGATATTTGGAAACATTGTAAGTGACCAAGTTAATCATGCTAACAATTGGTCTTAAAGGTACATCTTGTTTGTGGATTTTTGTTAAACCATACAGACTAGGTGTGGCTTCCCCTGGGTACAGTCTGTGGTACAGAATACGGTCAGTAGCCTTGTCCTGCTCCAAATTTTTCAGGTAATCTATTAACTTCTTCTTCTAGCCACTTCCTGGATCTCTTTTCAGAGGTTCATAAGTGGTTAAGTTACTAAGGAGTGTCATAACTTTCTCATGATAGTCTTTCTGGTTCAAAATCACTGTGCACCTTCCTTTGTCTGCTGGGAGAATGATGATGTTTTTGTCCTTGCTAAGAGTGGTGAGTGCATCCCTCTCCTCTCTGCTGATGTTGGAAGGTGGTGGTTTGGCATTGCTGAGGCAGGATGAAACTTTGATTCTAAGCTGTCCTACTTCACCCTCTTTCATTTTGTTGTTGCGTATGGTTGATTCTGTGGCTGTGATCATC